CTTCACCATGGAGGGTGAAATTTGTAGGTCATGTTTTGTGAAATAAATACAGTCAGTCAAGTCTAGAAACTAATAATCTACCATCTTCTTTACGACAAGAAGTCACATTTAGAGAGAATGATTCAGGGTTTTAAAATGAAATCAATCAGCGTTTTGCTCAGTTTATGTAACTGTATTTGTTAAGGATGAAGGGTTGGAATACAGTTGTCTTTTTTTCTTGCCTTAACAATGTTTAGTTGTTGTTGTGAAGGCTTATGCTGCTGTTTTGGGGTTGGGGAGACATAACAGACTGGCAAATATAATACTGTGTCTGACAAGCAGCATGATTATATTTCAGTACCTGAGGGACTGTGTGGACTCCACACTGTAGAGGCTGTGTAAAGGAGGGGAGACAGAAAGAAAGACATTTAGGTTAGAAAATTGTGTGTACTTTTACAGTTGCATTAAGCTGTTTAGGGTGCCTCAAATATTTGTGCATGTTTTGATTGTAGGAACCTCCCCTGTGGAACCTCTTCAGGGCCAGTTTTAGGGGAGGAAATAGAACCGGCTCCAGGGCAGGTACCTCTGAGTGGCCCTGAATCACTGTGAGGGGCTCGGTGCCGATTGGTTAAACCTGACCAACATGACAAGCGCCATGTTTTCTTCCCTTTTGATGGCCTCATTGGGTTGCTGTCTCCTCTCCAACATCACCATCAACAGTGTAAAACCATACAGACTAGGGATGGCTCGATCTAGTTGTTTTCATGCCAGATCAGATTGGCAGATACTAAATGACTCTGACTGGATCTGCCAATCAGATCCCATATCATTTTTCTTACTAATATACACTTCAAGTTCGTGGAGCCTCCAACTGTTTAACTTACACTATGTCACTTAGACTAAGCAAACCGAGAGCAATGTGGGGGTTTAGCTAGTAAAGGGCCACCATGACAGAGACTTCTGTAATGCTTAATGACCTTCCATCAGCACTTATTTGAGTATGCTGGAATCAACTGGAGCAACATGCAGTTAATTTAACAGAGCCTTTGTGGGCCATATCTCTGGATACCCCATAATTATGATTTAGAGTGATGTGGAGATTGTGGTAGTGAAACATGTTTGCTTAGGCAAAGCAACACAACGTCCATTTTTCAAGGAGGTGCTTTGTTGCCAGATGTCATGTGCTAACTGACTAAAACACGCCATATCAGCACAGGACATATGGCCACTGTGCCCCAAAAAATCTTAAAATCTGCAACCCCCGTCTTACAGGAGTTCAGGTTGAAACCAGTCAGTAAAAAGTACACACTGATTCTAATCACTGACACTGGTTGAGGACATCCCTGTCATATGCTAACATCACAAACGCCCTACTGTTTTATTTCCTACATGCTCACAGAACTCAAGCTACACCCCATAATAACTATTTGCCGTTGTTTTGGTCTACTCAGAGTTAACGTCACGGTTGAAGCTGTGTGATTCAAACAGAAAGAATGAACAGGTCGATGAGGGGGCGATTCCTGTAGAGTTCTCAACAACACATGTCTGCCCGGAGTTCCAGCAGTGGAAAGTTACCCACTGATTGGTCTTTTGGCCTGTTGGGGGCATCACAAATGCTAACACTCGTTTAAATCTGTCACCTGTCCAAGTCAATGTCCATATGCTGCAAGGACAGTAGTGTGCATGCTCTGCTGTAGTGAACATGAGTGGAATATATAGATGCTGATCTACTGCATTCTCCAAGTGAACGAGGAAGTAATACAATTATGAACTTGAGCTGTGATTAGTTAATCGCCAACTATTTTGATAATGGATTAATGGACTGGCGACCTGTCCAGGGTGTCCCCTGCCTTCGCCCTAAGTCAGCTGGGATAGGCTCCAGCTCCCCCGCGACCCTAATGAGGATTAAGCGGTGTATAGAAAATGGATGGATGGATGGATGGTTTGAGTAATTTAAGAAAGAGAACACAATCTCAACTCTTGCTTACTAAATTTGAATGTTCTCTGGTGTCTTTGCTCCTTTATGACAGTAAGCTAAGTATCTTTGGGTTGTGGACCAAATAAGACATTTGAGAATATCAACTTGGGCTTTGGAAAACACTGATTAACATTTTATAGATCCAACAGCTAATTGATTAATGAAGAAGATAATCAACAGATTAATGAACAATGAAAAGAATTGTTAGCTGTAGATCTGTTGTGAACAAAGTGTCTTTGGTGTCCAGAGATGTTTGGGTGAACGTTCGCAGACAAATAATAAAAACAACTTTAAATTAAATCGTTGAAGTTGTATGTTCAGAAACAGTTGCCTATATATCATACATAGATCAACATCAGCATATAATTTGAGTCATTTTAGTACCTGATTAATATAATTCAAACAGTCATCCTTCTTTAGCTCTGGCTTGGTGTCCTCCAACTCCTAAGATCATTCTTTTTGACTTTAGCCACCTTTTGTTCTAATTTCTTAACCAGCCTGCAGCCAACTTTTCCTTTTCTGCTGCATCTGAAGAAATGTTGATGACAGCCACTATTGTAAATCTGTGGTCGGTAAAACCAAAACAGCGAGCTAAAATATGCTAAAACTCTCCATAGAACTGAAAGAATGTGGCAGGTGATGACTCTATTTTGTCACAAAGAGAAAATCCACACACAAGTCATCATTTGATCCAGTGTTACCAAAAAATATTGTTTATAGCTGAGCTTAGCAGAGGATTTGAATGTTTATTCTAAAACTGTTTTGAATTAGAGAATATACTCCCAATTATGCAAAAGAGTAGGAATCTGATATCTAATTTCGAAACTCATACTGTCATAATTATGCTTTGGTTACTGTAGCAGAGTGAGCGGAGACGACGAGCACTGTTTTGGCACCGGTCAGCCCTGAAATGTGAAAATACCACCACATGTCACCACCTCGGAGAAAAGGCTCCAAACAGTCACTGTGGCTCTGTTATTGTTGCTCAATGTTTCATAGTGCACTTGAATGTAAAATGAAGAATGGATCAGGAGTGGTAAAAGCACACTTCATCGCCATGGCAACAAGCTCAGCATGCGGCTCTGTTGTACTTGGCTCAAGAGTGAGCAATGGGCTAAATGGAAGTGAATGTAAATACAGTGCGCTGAGACAAGGTGTTGCAGGAGCATCTCTCAAGGGTCCAGGCCTGTTCCTGAACAGAAAGATATGAAAGATTGTGGTGGGTAAAGACTTCCTAATAGAAACCTTTGGAGCAACTGGTAACGGCATTATGGTTTCACTGGTTTGTGCTGAAGTGAAACTGCTTAGAGAACAACCACGGTGTCGTATCCATTTTCTATACACCGCTTAATCCTCATTAGGGTCGCGGGGGGGCTGGAGCCTATGCTGGATAAATACTAGCTGAGTTAGAATAATAAGGTTCAGAACAAGATGGATATAAAGTCAAAAAGCAGCATCTGTAATCTAACAAAAAGGTTTAAAGCCCAGTTCCTGTTAGTCAAAACAAAAAGGGTTGTAGTCTCTATGATAACTGCTTGTTGGTTTTTTGATATGTTCCCAGTTGACCAATTACTAATTTGTCAGACAATCACTGGCATTAATTTCATGAGTAAAACGTACCACATCAGCAGCCTTCAAGTAATAATCCAAGAACTCTGGTGGTGGAAGGAACAGAGTACCTGTAAACACAAGTTAAACTCACCCAACCTCATGGTGACTACGAGGTCCAACTGGTTTGTGTTTGTCAAACTGGCACCACGTCAAAGAAGTTGTCTTGGTGGTTGCATTCTGTTAAAGGTCCCATATGGGGACTATACACTTTTATTGTGTGTGGCAGTTGCTATAAACTGTAAAATAATAGCTTCAACTAGTTAGCCCCCAGTTTTACAAGCGAGTTAGAATTTAACCCAGGTGCTATGCAACACTTAACTAACCATTTAGCTCAAACTACATAAGGTTAACAGTGTAATAAGGATAGCGGGTAGAGTGCACTTAATGCGCTGTAGCCCATCTAGTTAGAGGTAGCATTTTTCTTCCCCTGCAACCAACTGACTGGTTAAAGAGTCAGTACGATGGCAACCAATAAGGATGTTCTTTGGGTGCCTACATCCTTAAAACAAGTCACCGTGGATGATTCCATCACAAGTGGACTGAATGAAAAACTACATCTTCACTCACAATCTAGTTTGTTGCTTCGTCTGCAGTTTTCACTACATTCCAGTATCTACATGAGCAGACTGAGTTTGTTCAGTTAAAGTAGGAGAGATGTTTTAGTGTACATTATCCATCTGGAACTAAAGGTCGTGTGACAACAGGTAGTAGCTGGATAGAAGTTAGAAAGTAGACCTTGAATCTTTTTTGTTGGTGCTTGGCCAGACTAGTTTTTCCCAGGTCAATCATGAAGTTTCATGCTCTAAATATCACAAATGTGTTTCACAGTCATATAGAAAATGCACCACTTGTCTAAATAGAGGGAAAACTCTCCCCACTCCCACATTAACACTGTTCAACAATGTGGAGACATCCAGTTGCCCATTGGATGAAGTTACCATGAAGCCAGTGAGAACACAGATTCTGAGAATTCTTGCACTGCAACTACTTGCACAACTTACTGCAGGAAAACCCTAAAAATCCTCCCCTCTGTTTCTACTCTCACAACTAAATCCAACAAAAACTCTTGTTGTTCTTTTGCCATGTCATACAGAGTTACTCTTCAAACACCACAACAAAGCGTGGACATGACAGCAAAATAGTCAGCAACAAAGACATAAACATGCCCTAAACATGCAACAATAGTCCCATGAAATACTTTAAAAACTACGCTGACAGCAGCACTGATCCACAATTAGCTGGCCTATCCCAACTGAAATTGCTTCAACAGCCAGTAGCACACAAAGTGGAAGCATGCCACTATAAATACATTTTAAAGCCATGGATAAAGTGGATAAAGCTAAACCTTGTTAGATTATTATTATTTTTTTGCATGTGTGGTTGGTGTCCCAGCTCTGTCTCTCTGTATTGAGTGTGTTTCTCACGGTTTTAGAGAAAGTTCCCTCTTGTGACCAGGAGAGACAGAGCGCCCTGGACGAGGCTCGGCAGAATCCCCGCGAGGCCATTTTCATCCCCGACTGTGGGCCCGGAGGCCTTTACAAAGCGGTCCAGTGCCACCAGTCCACAGGCTACTGCTGGTGTGTTCTGGTGGACACAGGACGGCCCATTCCTGGAACCTCCACCAGGTAACATCATTTATAAAGCCACAGCGATGTTTAATGTAGTTAATTAAGCCTCTAATTATTTCTTTAATAACCTCTTCTGCTGCTGTGATGGGTATGCCTATCTAACGTTGTGGTAGCTGACGTGACCTAAACTTGCGTTCTCTTTACCGACCAACAGGGGGCGACTCCTCTGGTTGCAAAAAGAAGTCAGATTGTGTAGAAAATTACTCTATTGTCACCTGCACAGTTACCTCAGTTTAAGTGTTTCCGATGAGTTTATAGTCTCAATCATTGGTCTCAATACAGCATGATGTCCACTTTGTAAATTATGGTCCAGTTCAACAAAAAATAGATGATAAAGCTGGGGCTACCTTGGGAATGACTAGTAGTTACCACGTGTCCTTGATTTCTCAGTCAGAGTCACCGCTTGATCGTTACATCTGCTTTGGAAAAAAAATCCAAAGTCAGTGCTTCTAACTGGTGGTTTACAAACTAATTGGTGATATCACTGTAGCTACACCCATCTTTTATTTGCATTTTATGAGCCAAAGAGGTGGCCTGAGGAAAAAACACTAAGTACTAGGTATCCGGGAAATTCATTTTTAACAAGATTATGGGATCTAAACCTGTGCTAGCAGCTCTGCGATATTGGACAAATAATAACTTAGGCCTTATGATGACGATAGTTGAATCGTAAAAGCACTAGCAAAGTTATTAGAAACAATCTTAAGTAGGACATAAATATTTGTTCCAAGTTTAGTGCCAATCCCAAAAAGATACTTCACTGAAAACCACAAATTTGGACCTCATGGTAGCAGAAGAGGAATGTTAATGTGGTTATTCATATCCTGATTACTGATTACTGTGTGCTGTTGGAGCAGGCGCCTGTGATGTTTACCACGCAAATCAGGAATTTAATCCAACATTTTTGTAACTATTGGTCAATCCTTAAAATAATTAGACTGTTGAAAATTAGGCTACTTTGACTTGTAGCAGCCTTAACGCCAACATTATGTTGCAGATTTGGTTTATCCACATTTTTACAAGCAACGTTTGTGTTGTACAAACGAGGCAGTTGCGGGGAAAATCATTTGGTTTGTGTTGGCGGTTATATCACTATCACTATATTCCCTTCTCCCCTATCTCTGTGCTACCATTTTCAAAATCCCATTTGGCCTGCTTGGTTCTTTTAATTAATCTGACATTTTAATAACAGTGCTGGTCTCACTGAGTGCAAATTTTCCCCCAAAACAATTCCTCCAACACTGTCTAGCAGGGGCACCGTTACTGCATCCTGGGCTGAGCACCGCCTAAGTGATGGTGATTGGTTGAAAGAAATACAGGCAATCCAGATTTATAATGAGGAGCAGCCAGACCACTCTCCAGCACCGACACTGTGAGATGGGTCTGGCTATTCGAGACTATTGCCACCCATATAGAAACAGCCCTGGTTTTGGATCCAAAAAGCTCTTGCCAGTTCACTTAGGAAACTACTTAGTTTTAAGCACTGATGTGAATATTGGTCAGCGAGCTATAAACAGTTTCTGGAATGACTTTTGGTTTCAGTGCAGCTGCTACTGTTTACATTATATTTTGGAAAATGGCAAAGGCACAATTGTTTTTTTTGTGTGAGCATGTGACATGAAGAAAAGAAAAGAAATAATGATGTCCACTCATCTGAATTTAGAACGTGAATATTACGACTTCAAACTCAGAGCTGGACAAAGAGAAGGGTATTAGATGTTTGAATTAAACCGTAAGCATGCATCAATATAAAAGACTTGTTTTTGTTACTGAAGGGGCATCATCACTCTCACTCTACAAGAAGGTTTATATTTACAAGATGAAGTACAGACTTTTCCAATCAGAGGAAAATAGCTTTCTGTTTGAATACACAATAGCTCAGGTTTACTTTCAAATCAATGAGAGTCCAGCGTTTTTCTTTTTAGAGTTACGTCATATGAAAATAATTACCAGCATAAAATAAATCACATGCATAGTAGCAAAACTTACACAGATCTGCATTACAGAGGTATTAAACAAAAACCCCGAGGCGATTATTTCCTCACATAAAAATTTATTGCACTTCGGACTAGACCTCATGTCATCCAAATGTCTTTCCGCTGGACATGTGGAGTCATGCATCAGACATCCCGTTTTGGATCAGTGGTTACACAGACTGTGAAGAAAGAAATGACAACTTGCTTTTGCTTCGAAAAAAAGAAAAAGAAAAGAAAAAAGCCAAATGAGACACACATGCTCAATTTTCCAACGTATTCGAGAACCGCTGATACAATAGCCAGGAGAAAACGAGTCATGCCACGCATAATGCTGAACAGTTTGTTATGGCTCTGAAACAAAGCTTTGTGCACATCAGAAGAAATTTATTTAATAAGCGTGTATAAAAAATAGAAAGGTTAATCACTGTCAATAATTCCTTACAGATCAACAGATTGAAGCCAAAGAGGTTGTAGCTTTGAGAGTCAGAATTTGAATTCGTGCGGCAACAGAGATCAGGGAAAGTGTATGTCTTTATGACAAGACAGACAAAAAACATCTTTCTGGTTTGCAGATCTGAAACAGTTGTGGTGGTTTTGTTTTGTTGAGTTTCAGTTCCAGGCCATGTTTGATTTCTTGAATTTTCTACGGCTAAACTAATCTTTCAACATGGACAAGGTGCTCCTTTAATGTATTAGTTTTTCAGACATCACTGAAACAGGTTTCTTCTTCTTCTTTTGAGCTTCTGTCTCACACAGTCACGTCTTCGGCTCTTTCTAACAGATACCAGACGCCAGAGTGTGACGGAGCTGCAAGATCTCGCATCTCAGACACAGAGGATCCGTTCCAAGGCAGAGAACTGACAGGTTTTCTTAATTTTCACTACAGTTTAATTCACTTCAGGTTTGCGGTTGCAGAATTTCTTTGGGAGAAACTGTGTAGATTGTAGTTGTATCTGTTCACAGAGCAACCATGCACACTCGGGATGTTAGTGATTATTCATCAATCAAACATTGACATTAATGATTTAACCAATAAAAATATATTAACTGATAAGGCAGAAGACATGCATGTCAGGAAATGTATTGTAGATTACCACCAGATGCGCCTCTTACCGTTTCGTTTAACACTGTAGTGACTGGAGGAGGCAGGATGTTGGACTACCAACAGTTTCATGTCAGCAAGCAGAGAGTATTGTGCGAGTTAGCTAGTAAAGTTCCACCATGACAAAGACTTCTGTGATGCTTAATACCCCCTGGCTAGAGTTCTCACTTTGTGGGTGAGCTAAAGTGTCCCTTTATGGCATCACTGTGGTCCAGAGGCTGATTGGCATTGCCGTTAGAGTGGCCCATGTTATTAAAAAATGTCCACTGCATTCATTTTAGGTTCCAGATAAATTGACAATTGGTTGTTCAGGCTGCTGGTTATCAGTTAAGAATATTGTTCAACTTTTTCATTACTAACGGTGGGAATGAAAATAACCAATGTCTTGAGTTAGACACACTTTGGGTGGAAGACACTGAAATATCACAGCTTGGTCTAAAGAAGGTAAGCGGAAAACACTGAGACTGTCATCAATGAGATAAAATTGGAAACAGTAATGGTTGAAAACAACTATTCATTACTGTCTGTCCCATAACTACTTGACTTGGACACTACCAGTCTATTCACTGATTATTATCATTGCACACCATTCCTATGGGCCACTAGGGATCTCCTCCACCTTCTAGTAGGCCAGAAGATGTTATCATCAATTATGATCACTGAAAAAGAAATAGCATGTAAACCTGGACACTTACAAAAAGGAGCCTTGTAACATGTAACCGTAGTAACAGGGTGTATTTTAACACAAACTATGATCCTTTTCTGAGTTTAACCAAGTAGTTTTGGTGCCTAAACTTAACCAACTAATGATGAAAAACACAAAATTAATACTATAACATTGGCCTGAGATGGGAGTCAAACTAGGACAGTTCACTAACTTATTACACCATCAACCCCTTTAAACTTTTGCTCCTCTTAGTATGTGCAAAATCGCAGATCCACCACAATTAACTGGGGCACAGAAAAGGCCTTCAGAGACGCCTAAAAGGTGGAAAGGGTTCCTAATGGTCCATATTTATAGGAATGATTTAGTGTCTGTAGATTCTCAATTATCCATGTCCTACTAGGAGCTTCTGTAGAAAGAAACAGGACTTCTCCTTCAGGTTTTTGAAGATGTTTGAGCTGTCATCCAAACTAGAACTTCCCATCATGTAAGTTACAGCTGAAGAAGCCACTTGGTTAAGAGCTGAAACGTCCACAAGACCTACAAGAGAAGTCCAGTTGCTTTTTACAGAAGCTTTCAAAGAAGCATTTATTTATGTAATGGCCACAAATAACAGAAACATGTATAGATTTCTGTTAAGTAAGGCAACAAAGACTCTGTCTTTACTGTACATCAACCGATCAAGCTTCCTGTCATGGGTAGTCTCCCACAAAGGCCCTAAAACAGAGTTCAGCCTAGAAATGTCACCACTAACTAAAGAAAACTAGTACAAAGGATGGTTGTTTCTAATTGTTTAAACATTGAGTGGCAGAAAAATGTAGTTTATGCATCATAGCAAACATGGGTTCTAGTTTTATGAAGGTTTTAAGCAGTTTAACTTTTACTAGCACTCCCACAACAATGTTAGACGACCTGAAAACCTCGCTGAAGTATGTTGGACTTCATGTAAACTCACCAGATAAAAAACATTTTGATTGCGAACCGACCAAGCCACACTTTTGTGGTGTTAGATTCCTTGGCAGCAAAGATCAGAGAGTCTCCTCTAAACCAGAGGTCGTAACCTCGGCTCAGACTCCTCTGCCCTTGTTACTGCTCACTTAGGTTTGTTTCCCCATCATTTAAGGTTGCATTGTAACTCTTATTTAATTCCCCATCTGGTGAGTTTACAGAGTGGAGCATACTCCTGACTGTGCAGCAGATGTGTGGCATGTTTTTATGGAAGGTGTGAGTGTTGCGGCGGTGAGGCTGTGGGGGGCTGCTGGGGGTGTTGGTGACTGCAGGGAGCTGAGTGCAGATATTTTTATGTACTGTAGAGGGATGCCACAACAAAGCACAATATTTCATGGCCATCACATCAAGGCAAGGGGAGAAAAGAATGCTTAAGAGGGCAAGTCTATTAACAGCAAGCAGCTACAGGTTCAATCTTCAAGTGTCACAACACCACCTCTGACGTGTTACACCTATTTTACACCAAAGGCTGGGATCCGTTAAGTTCTTGTTTAGGCAAGTCAAAAACTGTACTTTCATCAAAATGTAAATACTAAAAGCCTTAAATGAGAAAAACTATTTAAAATCAAGACACTGTTTTTAAGAAAAATATCATTTCTGTTTACATCTTCGTCTTCACAGTGGTGGAGGACATGTAAATTGTTGTATTTTAGACCCCAGGTTTTTGGTGTTGTGGTAACTGCACCACACATTAAAGCACAAATTACACTTTCCGCATCTATGAAGCAGCAGCTCTGGGTTATGTAAATGTAATCATCTGCACGGCCCAGTGAACTGTATGTGCTAACAAACTTAGTAGCTGTGTTTCCATGATGTAATTTAAGTACATTTTGAGGCATTGTGTTAAAAAAGTTAATGGAAACGGCAAAATTTTTAAAAAACTTCCACCCCCATTTCACAAAAAAAACTCTCATGTTGATTTTTGCCTTTTTTCAAAAGTGTTAATGTGCATGACAGCTTTTTCAAATAAGCTCTGATGTTAACACTTAGCTCACATGACTGATCAGCTGTTTCTGATTCTTTCATTGTCTTCGTCTCCGGACAGCAAGAAGCATGGCCAATACCTGCTGACATGAAACAGTAAATACAACTTCCCTGTTTGGAATCCACTCCTGAACACTTCTGTTTTCTTCTCATAGAAAGCCAAATCTTAGTGTGTTCTAATTTATGTTTTTTTTGGCAGCTTGCGAACAGATGGTTTTGTTTCCGGCTTCTTCTATTCCTTTTTACAGCCGTGCATAACGTAGCCTGTAGCGCCACCTTCTGACGACACTACACAGCCTAGCTTATTTGCTCCAAAGTTGTTAATGGAAACTGCCTTTTTTATTTTGATTCAGATTTTTTGCAACACTTCAAAGGTTCGCTTCAATTTTCCTGGACAGTTATACTGAAATAGAGCTCCTGACGACACAAGTGTTGAGCACATCCACATACAAGCAATGCAGCATATACAGATGTTTTCCACTGTTCCACCGCTCTGCTCTCCTGTTCACGCCAGTTTGAAGGTATGTCAGTTTGGACTAAATTAGCAGCTCTGTGATCGGTTTACACCAAAGACACACAAGATTTTTTGCTTCAAAGACAATTTTTAAAATTTGGATAAAGTTTATACTTATCAAGTAAAAAAAAAAAAAAAGAAAATCTTTATCTTAATCTTTATTTAGGTGAAAAAGTCTGAACTTTTAATATAACCATGTTTCCATATAACTATTTAGTGAATTTGAAGCAAACTGTTAAAAATGTTATGAAAAAAAAAAAAAAGAAATGACACCGGTATCCATTAACTGGTCTGGACCGAATAAACTGGTTTGTGTCAGTTTTGTCAGAAGGTGGCAGTATAGGCTACATGGCTGTAATAAACGAAGCAGAAGAAGACAGAAACAGAAGACGTTTGGCTACAAAAGAAGGTAAACTTTGGTATCTACAGGAGAAGAATGAAGACAAGACTTAAGGAGTTGTCTTTAAGTGGGTTTGTCAGCTGGAACTAGACATGTTTTATGCTGTCCAGAGACAAAGACAACGAAAAAGGTGTTCCATCTTCCATTTTCGGCGTCATTATTTTTTGAAAAACACCTCAAGCAAGTGTAAAAACTTGTCAAATTTTTCTGCTTCCATTACATTGTTCTAATATGATGCTTTAAAATGCACATAAAAATACACTATAGAAACACAGCTGCTATAAAAAAGTCTCTTTAACTATTCACACCTTATAGACAAGGTGCTGTGAGTGAACACTGCTTTGTTTCAAGGTGTTACAAGCCAAAAATAGTTTCAGTATAGGCACAATTCTTCTTTACCCCTCTTTCCATCTACACTTAATCAAGCGTATTTGCAGCAGCTTTAATGCGTTTTGTAGAGGTCCTGCACCACACGCTAACCTTGACACCTCGCTGCATACAGCATCACGGTTTTCGCTTTATAACACCCCAATTTAACACTTGGATTAAGGCACAGCAAGGCAGTGCTTCTCCGAGCTTGTCGCGTTGTAGGAAATGCTAATTGGATTCACCTGGCGGGGGCAGCGGACCACCTCCCACAGAACAAACCGAGCCAGCACAAAGGGAAAGAAAAGAGGACGGGGAGGCCACGAAGGCTCCGAGAAAGAGGAGGAGGAGGAGGAGGAGGAGGAGGGGATCGGCTGAGAAAGCTTGAGAGAAAGAGAGAAAAGGCTGCAAAAAAAAAAAAAAAAGGCAGAATGAGAAGATTACTATGCAGCTGCGTTTTGAAGTTTCCCCCTTTAAGAGACACAATTAGGAGGGAAAAATTTGCACTGGTTTAGCGTGCTATTAAAACCATACATCTGGGCAATTAAAAAGAGCTACCCAAGGTGTTCAGAATTGTGTCATAAAAGTTAACAGGTCTGCACTGCTCAACAAAGCGCTCTCATCACAGCACACCTTCTGTCCCACCTCTCGCCATGTGCTCTGTTTTTCTGAAGTCTTACAAAACAGCCAAACTATGTATTCCACCGTTACTGAAAATATACTCAAAACAGCTCGCGTTTTAGTCCGCCGTGTGTCCGATTCTCTTTGCCCTTGAGCTCTCGATAAGGTTTCTTTGAGTGTGTAACCGGTGTTTGACATGTGTCAGCGGTGTCGAGGCTTTAGAGGCACTTCAGCCTCACTGTGCCGTAATGGCTCAAATTAGTTGTGGAAAGTAATTTTGGTGTATTTTTTTGTCTTTGATTCGTACCAGGCTGCCCAGAGGGGAAGAAAGTGGAATTCATTACAAGCTTGTTAGATGCCCTCACCACAGACATGGTGCAGGCCATAAACTCACCAGCCCCCTCTGGTGGCGGGAGGTAAGTAGTGTCACGTGCAGTTGAAGAAGTCATGGCTGACACCTCATGGAAAACCTCGACCTTGTTCTGTTTTTTCTCAAACCATCATTCCCTGTGGTTTTTCTGAATTGCGAGCTAATATATTTTCTTTGACATGCAATGCACAGATCTTGGCACAGACACTTGAGTCTTTTTTTTCTTGACGTTCTCTCATGTGTACGATGAGGGGCATTTTGGAATAAATCCGTCTTTATCATTTCTTAAATGGTGAATCCATTCTGCAGAGCAAAGCAGAAAACTGATTTAAAATGATTTGATTGCAAGCCGAGCTGCAATAAAACAGGACTCCTTGACAGTTTGGCACAGGATGTAATTCAATTTCATTACAAATGAACTGACCTTTTTTCAGCAAAGTCCTATGAAAACTGCAGGATTAAGAGTCTTAAATGCACACATCAGATTTTGCCATCTACGCTGTTCTTGTCACATCCGTTTTCCTGACCTCCTCCAGGTTTGTTGAGCCGGACCCCAGCCATACTTTAGAGGAGAGGGTGGTGCACTGGTACTTTGCCCAGCTGGACAACAACGGTAGCCATGACATCAACAAGAAGGAACTAAAACCTTTCAAGAGGTACCTGAAGAAGAAAGCCAAACCCAAGAAATGTGCCCGCAAGTTCACCGACTACTGTGACCTGAATAAGGACAGGGCCATTTCCCTGCAGGAGCTCAAAGGCTGCCTCGGCGTCAGCAAAGAGGGTAAGAAGAGGGGCAGAAGGAAACTGGGGAAACAGACTGGTTCAGAGTAGTTTGGTCAGGGAGGAAGGTCATGAACCTCAGGCCAGCTGGGAAAATCTGCAAATAATGGCTTGTCTTCTTCAACAACTAGACAGAGATACACTTTAGGGCTGCAACTAACTATTGTTTTCACACCTGTCCCTTGTTTTCTTGATTATTTGATTGGTTGTTGGGTCTATAAAATGCCAGAAAATGGTGAAAGCCAAAGATGACATCTTGAAATGTATTGTTTTGTCCACAACTTAAAGACATTTAATTGAGTGTTATAGAGGAGAAAAGAAACCCGAGAATATAAAAATTTAAGGAGCTGGAATCAGAAATTCTTGACTTTTTAAAATTAAAATATTACTCCAAGCAATTTATCGATGATCAAAATAGGTTGAAAACTGGTACATTTTGAGCCAGCAGACATACTTCACACTACAGTGAATCAATTCTCTTACAAAATTCACCCAAAGCCAGATTTTTAGCAATATTTTGTTCTCATTTCATAGTTTAAAAAAGTCAAGTGAGTCAGTCGGTAATTTAGAGTAAAAGATGACGTAACTGTGGTGCATGTGACAAACAGATGTGTTGGCAGGTTCAGTGCTCCGCTCAGCTCCCCCCGACGAATATTTAAACAAGACTGATGCATTAGCAGGTCCGAGACACAGCCTGGGCCAGAAAACTGTAACTACTCATCATGAGTTTACAGACCTAATAGAGATCATTAACATTTGTCAAAGGGGTCTAATAGTGCTGAGCTGATGCCAGGTACAATCCAACTGTAATACGGTGGAGAAAAGGAGGAGTATTTCACCAATGTTATAGATATTAAATGAAGTTTTAACTGTTCCAGTAACAACGAAAACAGTCATGTTTGACAAATGTGATGCGTGTTTCTTTTTGTAGTTGCACAGGAACGTAGGGATTACAGAGCCCATATTAAGCACATTTACAGGTTCATAACTTTACTTTTGGAATCTACTGGAATATTTTTTGCATGCAGTCGTATTTAAAGACACATGATTTTCTGCAGCAGCTCATTTCAGCCTCTGTCAGAAATGGTCTGTTTTAGCTGCTGTCTCTTTAAAGCCTAACCCTCGGAAAGTCCTGATAAAAGCAAGGCGACATAGTGTAACCCCGAGAAAACTGCTAATTCTTTGTTTGAGGTTGAGCTGCTCGATGGGAATTATGCAAATGTGTTACATGGTGATGTAGATAAGAAACAGGACAAAAGTCTAGACTTCAAATAAGGTATTTCACGCCGGTAAGGAGAAGACTGTTCTGTGTGGGGAACTCTGTTTGGCTTAGACTTTTTAAGTTTACAGGGAAAAACCTAAAAGCATAATGTGGACTCTTTAAGCAAATATACCATTGTGTTTGTGTGACTATAAAACCTAAAACTTTCAATATGTTTAATTCTTGTTTTTTTTTTTCCTTCTCCTTTTCTGTTCAGGAAGCTCAACAACAAGTGGCAACCAAGGGACAAGGCAAGGGACAAATTTGTTCAGTAAGGCAAACTAATATGCTTTCACTAACCCTGGCTCGCAGCGCTGTAGTTGGCTTATTGTGTAATCCACTAACACACACTGGGGAAGTGTTAGTTGGGAGTAATTAAAAGCAGTAGCAGCAGAATTTGATTTAGATGCAAAGCTTTATGGGATTTGTACCCAACATTCAATTAAGCTTAAGTCTGTCTAGTTGTGTTTGCATGCAGCTTTGTGAGGTGTGTGTTCATGAATAGTGTGATATATTGTCAGCTGCTGATATTTTAGAGAGTGCTACCTCATGTTATGGTCATGAAGACAGAAAGAAAGACATTTCTGGTGAGTTTTTGTTGACGAGTAATACCTGATTCAAGATGAAACAAAATAAATATCAACCCAGCTGCCAGGATGATCATAAAATAGCTCGATCCATCGCAGCAGATGGAGAAGCAGCAAAACAGAGACTTGTGATGAAATGAGACAAATAACATGAACAGAATACTCTTGTTTTTAAATTCTATAGATTTTTAGGGCACCGGCTAAACGCTGGACTGCACGTCTGTCGCAAGGAAGGCCGACAGTTTCAAAGGGAGGGACTCACATGCACCACAGTGTTTTAAGATACATACAAGGCTGGACTAGTTGCTTTGCCTTGTCTCACTAATAGTTGTTTATTGGTATATTAATGCTGTATTTATGTTAAAAATTACGGTTCGGACAACATAGTTTTCAGGGTCCATGCCAAAGATTTGTACTATAGGAAACCAGTAATTGATCCTTAAAACAGAAATATGTTTGCAGTAGAAATAGAAATGATGGTGTCAAAATTTAGAATAACACAAACACAAAACTTTGTTGAAATGCATTTGTTTCATTAAAAGACAACTTTTCACCATTTACCCTTCAGTGCTGATTGGCTATAACTTGTGATGTGCAACCAATCAGAAACTAGAGACTACAGATAGGGAGAGGCAAGTAGATAATGAAAATCAGACCTAATAATTGATAGATCGCTACTCAGACTTGTATTATTGCAAATTTGTTATCTGTCAGTCAAAAAATAATAGTTTCTGCTCTTGACTTTTTTGTTATTTTACCATTTTTGTTTTGTTCCTGCTTTGCACAAAAAACAAAACAGCGAGACAACAAGAACCAACAAAGATATCGTGACCCTTCCTGATCATCTATCTTTCAGTCTGTTTCGTCCTTTTTCCATCTTTCTGTCTCCGTCTCCTCTCGATCTTTCCGCCGGGATTCCCTCCGCCGAGTGATTATTGGTCCCGCCGGTGCTGCCGACTCTGGGCCGGTTCAGCGCCACATAGCACTGAGGTCATGTGTTTACGCTGGCACTGCCCTGCTGAGCCTGGAGAGCGGCGGCTCTGAGCGGGCATAACGTCAGGGTTCTCGGACCCTGGGCCCGGCTGCCAGGATAAACAGCACTGAAAGGGGGCAGAGGAGGAGGCTCGGCTGGTTGTTTTCGCTATAGTCACTGAATCTATCACCTCCGTGCTTAAGAGCTGGAGGTAAACGGCCTGACAGCTTTATATGGCTCCTTATGCTGCCACTCAGGCACTACGAGCTGCAGGATGACTGAGGAGAGTGAGGTACAGTATGCAAAAAGGAAAGCCTGCATGAGAGAAGCAGGGCTCTGTAAGAACATATGGCACCATTCTGCCTTAACTAAGATAGACAGCCATTGTGTTCAGGTATGCCTCGCTGTTCTTTAATGGCCTGGATCTCTTTAAGTCAAGCTGCCTTTGCCAAGCATTAAATCTTATCATGCCCTGTCGCAACTCTGGATCGTCGTTCGGGTGTTGTTGGATGTATTTACAGTTTACAGTATGTGCTTTTTTGGCTGAAGGATTGTGAGCGTTCGGGGGCTGAGTGCAGCACATCTGTACGAGGTGCCTCCCCTCCTGACACGTTGGCAACGGCAAAGGAAAACATCTGAATACCTTGTGTGAGATTTGAGGTGCTGGAGAGGGTGGCATCCATCCTCCGAAGAGACTGGAAACCTCATTATAGACGAAGCCCAGGGCAGCGATTTTCTCCGTGAACCTCGTCGCGCAGATGATGAGCAGCAGGTCTGGATGTTTCTGGCGTCTCGTCTCGATCGCTGTATTGAACGAAATACAAAAAAAGAAAAAAAAAAGTTTCACAGTGGGTTTCAGCGGCAAGGTTCACAATGTTCTTTTCAAAAGTCTTAATCCCGTTTAGAAAGACGTAAACACACTTTAGAATAAGTACAAACACATGCGACTGTGCACGTATGAATACTCGCACACAGACACCAGAGTATGCACAATTATAAGATATTAGAGGATCTAGTGAGAGCGCTCGCAGAGGCTTTTGTTTGCAGGATGCATCAGCTGTTGTCAAGCATGAGGAGATTTGTATTTGAAACTTGATGCTTTTTTTAAAACCAGGAACATATGAAGCACTGAAATGATCAACAGAAGACTTATTGTCAATAATTTTAATAATCCACCGACAGTTTATTGTGCAAGAATGGCAAACATTTGATGAGGACTTGCTGCTTTTTGCGTTTCTACTTTGGTAAACACTGGAATATTTGGGCTTTAGACTTGATGAGAATACCCAAACAACATGACGACATGACTGACAGCTCTGGGAATTTTTCCCAATTTCCTGAAAAAATAAACAGGGTTCAGTCAGTCCTAATATGTGCTGCTCCGTACTACCACATGCACTGTCCGACTGACAGGGACCAGAAGCCTCTGCTGCGAAGCAAGTTCAACACATCCAGCATGTGTTTTCATTATCTGGCCTCACTGACCCCAACAGTCACGCTAAGCAGTCACACGAAGCTGCTCATCAATTCAGTAAGTCAGCTGGGGGTTTCTCAATCAAACTAAGAGCTTGTTCACGTTAAAGAGACGGTGTTGGCACCAGATGACCAAATGAAAAAAGATTTACAGCTCCATATCTGGCACAAGAACAACAAACTATAATCCTACAATACAGGTTAAAAGCAACACATCAGTTTATAGGCTCATCAATATCACTGCATCATCATTAAAGCACCAGTAGATCTGACCATAACTAAACATGTGTATTCCAATAGGTCATTGAGTTGCTTAGACGTGGCCTATTCTAATGACGTGTTAGACAACTTCAGCATTATTCTCACCACCGGAACCCCTAGTTGGTGTTAAAACATTTCGAGAGCAGAAAAAGAACCAATCTTCCAACACCCCAGGACATTTTCTGAGATAATACACACTTAGAGTATAGCAGGCATTTGCTGTTACGATTTAATAGTACAGTGACAAGAGGAGGTGGCCACTTTGTGTTGGCAAGCAGAAAGCATTATGGGGGTTTAGCTAATTAAATGGCACCATGACAAAATGTTCTGTGATGGTTAATGACCTCCGAATTGGTTTAAATTGCTTCTATATTCTACAGGCATTTGTAATTGCCTCATTTTTGGCTATGTCATGCATCTGTGGCATTGCCAGAAATACCAGCACACAAATAACACAAAGTGTGCTGAATTTATTGTATCAATTGATTTATTAAGTAAATTAACCAAATTTATGACAAGTGTGGCAGTGCATGTAAACAAAGGATAGGGCTTAGAGTCCTCTGATATCAGATCTCCCTGATCCTGATCTAATCCTAATTAAACCATTTTTCATACTGGTAAATAGGCTTACTGGAATGCCTGTAAGGTCAACAAATACAGTGCTTTAGTTTAAAGATTATATTGTTGAACTAAAACCTACAGAAAAATAGAAGAGCGTTGAAATTTCTTGCAGTGAACAGAGCACATCTGCACTCCTTAGGGGAAAGAAAAGGGTTTAGATATTCTCTGAAAACTCTCCACAGAGGCTATTTTCCAACAGATCTGATTGGTCAGTAAGTCGTGCTTTTACACACCTTTATACCTGAAAAAGCAGCCATGAAGTGATGAACCTTGTTAAGAAGTCAACCACTGTTGTAGCCCTGAAAACCCTGGATTAAACCTGAAGTTATCTCGCTAACTTCCAATCCTGCTTCATAGTACAGGCCTCTTCTATTGCACGCTGAATGACTGACCATAGAGAATAAGTGCCCTTGTGGCCTTAAGATTTCTACAATTACAAATGTTGGAAAGACTAAATGGCAACAAATGGAAAGTTTGCATCAGTAACAAGACCCTCAGTCAGAACTGGAGGTACTTTGGACCCTGAAAAGAAAAGAAAACGTACTATGAAGTAGTTTCCCATAGTGATGAGGTAGTTTGAATTGATTATGTGTGTTAATAATAATCCACTAAATAATACAACTACATGATCACATAAATGTACCAGTCTGAAGCCTTTAAGGAGCAGCGATTAGGAAGGAAAATAACGAGTTTTGCCACCTCAACACTGGCGTGATTTAGAGGCGTATTTAATGATTCCAGCGGTGTTCTGTCTGTAGGCGAGTCTCCTGCCGACAGAAACAGAGCAGCTCACAGCATTATGCTTTCTGTGTCTTGTCTGCTGTTTTCTGTCAAACTCCTCTCGTCTCCTTCGCTGCTCTCCTGTGTTCGTCTCCTGTTTGTCCTGGCTGTGTCCGTCATTAGGAATGAATGGAGGGCATTATTAAGCGGGCCTGGCACTGAGGCTGCAGGACCATTAGAGAGTCCAGAGTCCTGTCCTCTCAAAGCCAACAGCAATTACTCCTCGCCACTTGTGTTTTAATTACTGTGACATCAGCTTGACACTGAAAGCAGCGGGTCATCAGAGAGGACTGTGACGCTCACATACAGGTTCCTTTATTACCACGGTCACCTGTGAGTCTGGTGATGAGTTTGCCGCAGTAAACTCATGTATCCGTCCTTTCCCTCCTGTTGCCACCACGTACAGGTATACCATGATTCCCAGCTCTCGAGCCAAGTGTCTTTATCGGTCGGTCCCAGGTGAGGCGAGGCGATCCACCGCTAGACAGGATCTGCTTTCAGCTCTTTATCGCAAGTGGGGCCAAGGTGTCCGGGGAGAGGCCGGGGAGCTTTGTGTTGTTAATGGCACAGACAGTGTCCTCAGTGACTGGGACAGGAGGAGGGAGAGGAGCATTCGCTGCTCTGGAGCCTGGTAATTGCAAAGCCAATTCATCAGCGCAACTGTCGCCCAGCTCTGTACAACAGAGACATTTATCTGAGCTAAGGAGAGGAACAACATGACTTGGGCTGGAAAGAGGTATCAGGAAATATCGTGGTGCTGCAGAGTCTAACAGGTAGAACATGCCGCTGGGTTTGCCAACAGAAACAGCGTATGACACAGAATACTACTGAGAAATCCATTAACCAGCTGCTGCCAGAGACAGCTGGTCTGCATATAAGAACTCCTTACATGCTTTTTTTTTTTTTTTAAACCTAAATTAATATTAGACTTGTGTCCAGTTGGTTGTCAACAGATGCCAGAGAGGACTGGTCAGTTTTACCGTTCTAATTTATTGGTCAACTATGTTTTATTCCATCTCTCTAATTTGTTTCCATACTTGACTTCTACATCTGCTCTGTGGAAACACTGCCTGCAGTTCAGCAGAATAGTCCCTAAAGTTTCATATCACATGACTGGCTTCTCATTTGTGCCATGGAGCCCTGATTGGCTAACATTTTTTTTACATAATCCAATGCAAATGGTGTATTTTTGGGCCGATTTAGTTTAGTTTCCATATGTGGCTTCTATATCTGCTCTGTGTGAACACTGCCTGCAGTTTAGCCAAACAGTGGAAGAATTTTTGTCATGTGACTGTTGGTAAAGTGCAGAATTTTCCATTTTAAAAAGAATGCTGTCAATGCAGACTGTTAATTTTTGGCATATTTTTAAATGAAAAGTAAAGTCATATCAGTGAAATATCCCAATTTTAAGCTTGTGTGCTTGAAATGTTTAGATTTTAAAGGCTCATTGTTGTCCAGTTTTGTATTTTTCTGCAATGTCAGACAGTGTTAACACTTAGATAAAGGAGCCATGTAAATCCACATCCATCCATCCATTATCTATACACCACCTCTATCCCAGCTGACTCAGGGGAAAGGCAGTGGACACCCTGGAAAGGTATAAATCCATACAAAAAGTTCAAACCTGACTCCCTCAGATCAACTTGATTTTGTCGTGCAGTGACTTTCATATGTTTAATGGTGCCATACAAAGTTTTACCTTCATACTAAGAATATTTTCTGACTTACACGCCACCCGGAAATGTTGCATTACTTCATTAAACATACTAAAGTTATTGCATAGTGAAAAAATCAGTTGATCCTGCAGAGGTCACGTGTGAACTTAGATTTTTCATAAACATTTTTTTCCAAAGTGTCGAAGCCTAAACTGCAAATAGTAGTCAGCTGGTGGTAAAATTAGGTGGCCATAATGTTTTATCTTATACACTTAAAGTATATGAGAAAACATCCACTATGGGACGTGGTCATATGGAAGGTAACCAGTGATTTATGGAGAGCTGGATGGATGGTGATGCGGTAAAGTCTGAACCTGGAGCTTTGAGAGTGAAATCAGCTGGACTCGTATTTCATTGCTAACATGAGCAGCGCTGACAGCGAGCTCACCTGCACACACCTGGCACACACACACACACAACCTCATGGAGGCATGAATACGACATACGGACAGAAAAAAACACTCGCATACGCAATCCCATAACACACACAAATACAAACGTGTGCTTCTCACACAGCCTGAGCTCTAACTGGAGAAGCTCTAGCTCCCTTCTGACAGCCATCTGTAAGCAATCTCAGCTCTTTACCCATCTCCTTCTGATCTGATTGATGAGCGAGCCTCCGATCCCGCGAGCTGCACACTGTCCCGTTCAGTTTTTTAGCAGGACTGCAGCACGACCCGCAACTTCAGAGACCTGTTGAGTTATCGCAGGGTTGTAGCATGACGGCAGCACATGTGACGGTGCACATGGACGGTGTGAGTGTAGGTGGTGCACAGCTGCTGAACGGCCAACAGTCAGAAAATGTTACTTTTCTATTATAATCAATAACCTGGAGGGAAATACAGAGATAAAGAAGGGAGACAACATGTTGCTAATAGAAAGAAAAACCAAAGACACACTTGGTAGCAGGTTGTTTTGAACAAGGTTTACTTTCCCGTTACGTTTTTACCCGCTGTAGGTTTACTTTTCACTGCAATATAAAGTCCTGCACCTCTATGGAAACAGCACAACCATGGCTAGAAGTAGAGAGAAGTCAAAAATGTCTTCTGTGCTGTACTATAACACAGCTTGAATGACATAAATCATGAAAAAAAATTTCTTTGATTATTTGTTTTACGTTAATCGAAGAAATCAAATTGGAAAGCTGCTTCCACATTCTCCAGGTGTGACATATATTGGAAAGAACAGTGGCTCTAGATACTGTACGAGTAGATATTTATCACTTAGGTTTGTACAACCGCTACAAACTTAGTGCTTTTCGCAAGAGTCTGGAAAGATATTTCACCATGCAGAAGGTATCTTCCAACTACTTCTTCTCTTCATACCGTTTTTTGGAGACACGCTGCGTTTATGTTATTATTCAATTAGGTTTGATTTTGCACTTAACCCTTTTTAATTTGTTCCATACGTGTCTCCTGTCTGTGGTTAGACACTGCCTGCAGTTCAGCAGAATCCCTGAAGTTTTGTCACTTCACTGCCTTCTCACTTGTGTCATGGAGCCTGTTTTAAAACATTTTTGTTACCAAATCTGATGCAAATAGTGTATTTTTTTGCAGATTTAGTTTGGTTTCTAAACTTCTCTTCAACATCTTCGACTGTATAAACACTGTCTGCAGTTCAGCCAAAAAGTCTCAGAATTGTTGTCATGTGATTGTGGGTTACAGCTGAGTCAGTTTCAGTTTGTTAGTTGTGTTAAAGATTGCAGAATTTTTGTGAAAACTATCAATTTTGGCTGCTTTTTGAATAAAACATGTAGAATGAAGTGATTTTGGTGAAATATCACAGTGTTAAGCTTAGATTTGTTTAACGTTTCCAATGGAAATGCATGTTTAGTTCAAGGACCACTGGAAAGGTAGATGGTAGGTTGTTTTTTTAAGTTTAAATTTTAAAAGAGGGATAATGTGTGTAATATAGGGGTAGAAAAACAGCATGAAGAATCAAAATATAAAATTGTTTAAATGAAATATTAATTTTAGGTTCTAAAGTCTGCTTCATTGTTCAACTGAAGAAAATTAAAATGCCAAAAGAAAGGTTAAGAAACCGTGTGAGCTGCAGAGGACAGATCTGCTCTCCACATGGTCATTCAGAGACACAAACACACACACACAATAGGAATACTAACACGCACAAAAAAACCCACAAACAGCACTGACATGTGTTTGTGCATTGAAGGATTTGACTAATGAGGGTTTGGCGAAAAACAACCTGGACTCACACAGCCTTCATCAATAGTAATCTCTTTGTTACACTGGGGATATTAGATGTTGCATTTTTCGTTTATATTGTGTTGCACCGCCGTCGTGTTGTCATGCGAAAGCTGTCTGAACAGATTTTCTTTTGTCTGCCGTGTTCCCAGTAGGTCGTCTGGTGTGAGAAGAGACGGATCACGAAGCTGAGACGAGAGCAGAGGGCACAGAGGGAAGGCATCTGTACGCTTGCTGACAGGAAAGAGAAAGATGGAGCAGAAAAATTAAGAAGTTCCTGAGTTTTTAAAAAGAAAAAAAACAACAACAACAAAAAGAACAGAAAAACAAGAAAAGAAAAACGAAGCGGCGCCAAAATATTTGCACTTTCTCCTCCCTATGTTTGACATTTTATCTGTTTTTACGTGTTTTTTTTTTTCCTCTTGAAGTGACTGAAAATTTGTAGGTAAGAATGAGAATATATTTGTAAAGAGATGACAGACTCACCACTGGAAGAGCAAGTGTTGTGTGTGTTACCACATCTCCCTGTGTGTTCAGTTTGCTGTTTTGATTCGTTCAATCTTCAGATAACAAGAACAGGCACTAATACACGTTTTGTCGCAATTAAATTAAACTGACATGCTCCCTGTTACTGATAGCAGCGCACAGGAAACTCAAAAAAAAGAGAAAAGCTTAAAGTGGCCTTGTTAAAATAAAATTAGGCTTATTTCTGTTAAGTGGTGTGGAGCGAGGCAGCATAGTGTTGCCAGAAGGTGGCAGCATAGGCTACATGGCAAGCAGCTGGAAAACGGCTAAAAAAAAACCTGCACAAGAAGAAGAAACGAGCAAAACTTTGGCCGTCTTTCAGTGAAAAATGACAAGACAGTCTCCAGGAAATGCTTTTAATTGGGAAAATTGTAATTATTCCTTAACGTCAGGTGACATATTTGATGCTGTGCGAAGGCAAAGACAAAAAAATTGAAAATCACCTAAAGGAAGCATACTTTTTTTTTTTTTTTAGCCAAACTCCAAAAGTTTTCTTAAATTCAGCCATTTTCAATAATTCTTTCTTTGCAATATTTCAAAATGTGTTATTGGAACACAGCTATTAAGTCACATTCAGCCCAAATGTTGCTCAAAAGGAAAAGCTATGTCGCTGCAGACCAATTTATATGAATGTTGTATGTGAACATGCCATTTGAAGTGAAGGAGTTAAACTGTGACCACAAAGTCTAACTTATCAGCACAGAATTAGCTGCATAAATCCCCTTGCACTGCACAGAACCTTCTAGATACATTAACATTTTGGCTCAAGGATCAAGTGTCTGAGATGTGTTATGTCTGGTTTTTGCTAAGTCCTGAAGAACCAATCAGCGTCGAGATCCACAGCAGTTTTTCAGAAGTACCTAACCTGGAGTACATACATTCTTCTTCCTGTAAACAGCTGTTTTAAGGTTCAGACCTCCTTAAAATAGCCCGCAACTTACAGTCTACTATCATCTTGCTTCAAGCCTAAAATTCACTCTCGCTTTAGCTCCATTTTGGTCTCCACCAACTGCTAGGTAAATAACAATAGTACTTGAGCTGCTGAATGCTCCACTGTGTTTACCAGTTTGCTACTAACGACACATAACCCCCAAAATCTTCCTTTCTAAAGCTGTCCTTTCACATGCACCCAATAAAGAGCAACATTCAGCGACTTTTGCAGAAACTTGGCGCAGGTACGAGGTCATTTATTGCAATCGCTCGAAACAAATAGTAGTTACAGGAAGCCCAGTTCTGTAGGAAATACAACAGAAGGTTCGATGTCTTTGCCTCGAGGGGGAATTTTACGTTAAAGATGGCAACATTGCAGAGCAGTTTTTCAGAAGTATCTACCCTGGAGTAGTAGCTTCCCCTAAAGCAACCCTGAAAGTGAATGTTGCACAGGGGCGGTTCTTGAGATCAGAACAAGCACAGAGGTTTCTAGCCGCCTTTAAAAAAAAAAAAAAAAAGCCCACAGGTTACTGCAGCCTATAGTCATCCCATCTCCAGTCTCATGTTCACTCTTGCTTTAGCTCCATTTTGGTCTCCACCGACTGCTAAGAAAATAGCAACGGTGTTTCAGCTGCTAAAAGCTCCACCGGTTCATGGCTAACGGGTAGAGCACGTTTTTAGTTCGATCCGAAGACTGAAACGTAACGATAACGTGAAGGTAACAGAATGAAACAGAATAAAGCGAGTTGAACGATAATTCTTTGTGGGTTCATCTGTACGAGTTCAAGTGATCACTTTTAAAGTAAATTTGACTTAACGCTGACATATAAAACACACTGATTAATGCAGCTTTAAGTTCAAATTACAATGAAGGTCATGTTGTTTTATGTGTACATTTATGTCATGTTACACGCCAGTTTTTGTTACTCTACGGAGACAATGTCAGTATTCATTTTCTACACAATCAAATGTTGAATTCCTTCTTCTGCAGTAAAGACTGAGTTCATCGCCTACTGTTTCCCACTACAAACTGCAACAACATGAACAAATCTCTGACCGCCTGCTGGGGATTTTATTTCTCCAAAACAGATTACAGAGCAGAAATTGAGTTTTAAATATATCCTTAATAGAACCTAGGAAAACAGGTGCCTTAGATGACTAAACCCAACCAGTAAATGTAGTGAGAAGTTTACATCTTGTTTTTATCAGCCCATTTCAGCCGTCATATTCAAGTGTACTGTAAGCAAGACGGGGCATTTACGAACGTCACTTCATAAAATAAATATTGGCGTCTCCTCAGTTATATCAGAGTAGAGTTCGTGTATGTAAATACAAATATTGTTTGTCCTCCAACAGCTGATGTCAGTCTGTGAAACACTTAACACCGTGCATGTTGGAGCTTTGCCACCTTGTGTAAGACACTGCAGTTTATTTTAAAATACCCCCCAGAGTGTCCGATTAACGGGAAAATGACTGAGCAGGGAGGAAAAAACACTTATGAGTTTTGGAATGTAAAAAAATAAATAAATAAAGATTTCTTCCTCACATTTGGGAACAATTGAGCTTCAAAAATTGGAGAATCATGCCTTTGCTATTGTGGTCTGAATGCCTGTGTATTTGTTTTGAGTTGTGTATTTCCCAAGAGTCGCTGCTACGGCTCATGAACATGAGACAAAAAAGGCTCCTATTGTAAATATGTACAATAACCTATGTTTGTTTGTTTTACTAAATTTCATTGTGGGGGCATCTGGGTGTTCACTGGCTTCTTGTGAAAAACATACATATATATACACTTTCTGTCTGTTTACATCATGTCAAACATTAGGCTGTTACAGTAGCTAATTCACAGCACTGAGACGTTTAGAGCAGACTGTATGTTATCAGCTCTGAGGACTGTTTATTTTATCTCTGCTGAGGTTATTTTACAGTTTCAGCTTGTGTTTTACGATTCCCGTCCTCCTCGCTGCACACAGTCAGAATGTATACAGTATCTGGTGCTCGATTCGCTACAATCACAAGTCCAGTCTCGTCCGATTTGAACCGGACAGCTATGCCAAGAATGAGCAGAGAAACCTGTGTTTCTTTGAGGGCTGTGCAGTCTCTCTTGTTTCAGTTCCAGGTCTGAACACTGAGGCTTGTGTGTGTCTACTGAAGTGCTTCCAGACGCTGCAGAGCTGCAGATCACATGCGAGATCTGAAACAACCTAACAGGCTGGTAATCACTGCAAATCACGATGGGGGACGTATAGCGAGCAGATGACTGTCAGTCTGACGGGAGGGGGAAAAAAAAAGCCAGAATTGTCCTGCTCCTCTCCAGTAAAAAGAAAGTCCCAACAAGCTTCTCAACATGTTTTGATAATATTCACAGCTGAAGAAATTGGATCCGATGGAAAGCAAAACGCTGACACATGTTATCTTTGGGTGAAATGGGTCGATGTAAATGATGTGGCTTGAGGTGCTGCTGTTTGGCCAAACTGCAATGTCAGGCCTTGTGTCAAAACGGAAACAAAATAAACTTAAACTACACAAAAATCTCAAAAAGAACATGTTTTTTTTTTTGTTTTTTTTTAAAGAGTGGAATCTACACTGATAAAAAATGTGAGTTTACGAGGTGCATCTTGGCACACGGCAGTAGCTTACACCTGGGTTGCATCACTGCTTTGCGTAGTTCATGTTGCTTCCCACCTGAAGTGTGACATAAATTTAAAGCAGACATGATGAGAAAAACGTCTGCAGACGCCCGGCATTGAAAACAAGTGAGAAACAAACACTTCTTAGCACCTCACGCTTGTAGAACCTCATTTAAGAGTCGAATTTGGCTACTAGAAAACCAAAATCTTGGATTTAAGCTGTCATTTACATCTGAAAGAAAATAAAAGCACACAGTGAAAAGCTACTGTTCACTGTTCTGCATGTATCCTGCTATTTTTGACTCAAGTTACACGACTACAAACAATGAAAGTGCTTATAAAAGCTTGATAATGGCGCTAGAAAACTAAAACAAGAATATAGAAGTGAGCCTGATACAGGTTTATCCCACATCTGTTTAGGCTATACTCAGTCTGGACAGTTGGAAACCTCTCTGAAGGGGTTAGAAGGAGTTTAACACTGACCCCACATGGTGAAGAGGGTTCGCTGCAGGTTGTAAATTTTCTCATGTACAGGACTTCACACATACGATAGTCATGATCTGACAATAAATATTCATCGAGTTGTTGGAGGATGCATTCAGCACGGTGAAACATCTTTCTAGGGTTAAAGTGCAGGGTGAAAATTATTTGTCGAGAGACTTTAGTAGTAAAATATACATGATACAAAAAGCCACCACTTTTTTCCACTGTGAGTAATAACTGTGGGCATGTGGAGAAATGTTGCACATGTGGAGTCCCCTTTTTTTTTTAATTTTTGGGAAAATAAACCATCAAAGAAAGTCAACTTTTTTTCCCTATGACATTGGAAATGTGTCATACTACACAAAGGACATCTTTGAGCTTTCTATACTCCTAGCCATTGTTGTGTTGTTTTCACAGAGGTGCAGGATTTTATATTCCAGTGAAAAAAAAAAGAGCCCACAGCCAATAAAAATGTGGCAGGAGCAAAGAAACAGCAAGAAACTGAGTCAGGTTCAAGTCGTACTTTTTTGTAGAAATGTAAGTTAATAGTGTAATATGTTAAGTTTCCATTTTTAAAATATTAGTAACAAGTTTGGGCACTTGGAGAACTGTTGCACATAGGAACAGAGGTGCAGGACTTAAAAAATGAGCCCACATTAAATAAAAATGCGCCAGAAGCAAAGAAAACGGCAAGAAACTGTGTCAGGACCAGAGGGTTAACAAAGGTTTCCTTGGAGTTTTCCACTAGTTAGAAGATACATTCAGCATGGTGAAACATCTTTCTACAGTTGATGTGCACCGTAGCGTGAAAAAAGTTTCTAGAGATTGTCGAAACATAAGTAGTAAAGTATTCATAGTATGTAGATTCACCATTTTCTCTAATATCAGTAACAAGTGTGGGCACTTGGAGGAATGCTGCTCATTGGGATTCCTGTTTTTTTTTTTTTAATTTTCATACAACAATCAAAGGAATTCAGCTTTCAGTTTTCATGTATTATGATTTATGACATTAGAACTTTGTCATAATACACAAAAGATATGTTTGAGGTCCCTCTGCCTCTAGCCATGGTTGTGTTGTTTCCATAGATGTGTGGGACTGTGAATTAAAATGAGGCAGGAGCAAAGAAACAGCAAGAAGCTGGTTGAGGTTGAAAGAGTTAACAGAGTTTTGCAGTTGCTGTCTTTTTTGTTGTCTCAGTTTATGTTCCGTTGCTTTACAATATTTTTTAACAACATTACAAATTGCTAAGATTGGAATCTTTTCTTTAATCGTCCCCATGTTGGAAAGTTGGAACTAGACTCCGAAGACGCACTCGTTTGGGTTAATGATTTGTGTCCGCTGCGAGATGCTCTGATTTAGGGATGAGACTTCAAAGGTGCGGATGTTGTCAGTGCATGATGGGAGGCGGAGGGCTCGGGGTGAGCTTCCTGGTGATGGGGGTGGTTTGGAAATAGCGGAGAGAGAGAAAGAGAGAGAGGGTGGTATCACAGATGAAATTGGAGCCAAGAGGCAGCTGCAGTACATCTGTCTTGTACTGACACATGTGGCATTTGACTTCCAGTGTGAAGTTCAAAAGAGTTTTATAATGACGCAGCTGCTTAGGGATGTATGTGCGTGTGTGTGTATGTGTGTTTTCTGCTTTGTTGAAGGTGGGGTGGAGGGTAGGCGGGCTGCCGGAGGGGTTTCATAGGTGAAGGCTGGAATTTGGGTTCTGAAAGTGACGTGTGGGCAGTACAGGTGCTGCCTGATGTTGTTTTAGGAGGTTTAGGACTTTGTGTTGTCCAACTTTCAGACTTTTCAAAGTGCTTTGCGTGCTGCTCACTTACCCAAAGTGTGAATAAGCTGAGAGATTTATAAAAACATCTACACAATAAACAGTGAAACACTTTTTTTAAAATTATTTTTTCACAGTAACACGTTGCTCTAAACTCAGTAGAGTTTAGCAATGAAACAAATCAGTTGTGCAGTCAGTCAAAGATAAGTTAAAGCAGCTAGTTTTATTTCTCCAACTGATGATTTAACATTTAAATCCATGTTTCTGGTGCATTTTAACTCTCTGAACCCCAAAATGCGCTGACGAGTTTCAAAGGCATGTTATTCTTGTCAGAAACTGTAAACACAGAAAGAATCATCAGACTGTCAACTGTCTGATGGTCCTCAAACTAATCATGTGTGACGTGATTTCATCAAAATCACCTCTTTCTACATGTCCCATTTCAACAATACCAAAAACAGTATTTGCTCCAGATTCTGCAAAAAATAAAAATTAAAAATTAAAACTTCTGTACTACTGAGAAGCCAAAACTAAAGGGACCATTCGGCTGAACTGCAGGCAGTGTTCACACGAAGCAGATGGAAACCAAGTATGGATCCAAAATAAGAGCGACTGAGAGAAAAATAAAATGCATCTGCTCATTAAATCAGATGCAGCATCGCTCAGAAGTGGTATACAGAGGAGCAAGTTGTTAGAAGATACATTGAACATGGTGAAACAACAGTAAGTAGTAAAATATCTACTATTTGTCAACTTTTTTTTTTTTTTTTTTTTAAGATTTACGGCTTTAGAAATTTCAGGGGTTTTCTTCACTAGTCATGGTTCTGTTTCCATAGAAGTGCAGGACTTTATATTGCACGGAAAAATGAACCCACAGTGAATATATTTCTGACAGGAGCAAAGAAACGGCAAGACACTGCTTGAGGTTAAGAAGGTTGATAAAGCTTGTAGACGACGCTTTGCTGGACTGCGACTACACTCTCAAACGTCTTTTGTTATTTTGCTCTGATTGTTTTAAATCTTTGTCTACATCCCGATTTTATTATTTAAGTGCCTCTGCCATGTTGTGGAGTTTGGTAAAATGGTGTACATGTGGAGCCAGGTTTGTCAAATTGGTCAAAATAACTGAACAAATGCAACTTTCTTTTTTTTTAGGATCTATGACATTAGAACATTATACTACATGAAAGGTATTTTTGAGGAGTTTGATACACTGATAACCATGATGGTGCCATTTAAGAAGAGGAGCGGGACTTTATACTGCAGCAAAAAATGAGGTCATATTAAGTAAAAAGGTGGCAGAAGCAAAGAAATAGCTTGGGGTTATAAACAAATAAATAGGCTAGCAAGTTTTGTCTTAATGTCAATTAACAGGGCTCATATGGAGAAGCCATCAGCCCATGTAGTAGTTGTCCAATACAATGACCTACTCTTTTACTTTTCCCACATGTTGTGTTGGTGATGAGTAAATTTGTGTAGCTTCCTCCCCCCTCCTTCGTGTGCATTGAAACACTTAGCAACAGATCAAAAACACCATTACAGGTAATTTAGAGGGGGCCATTAGCCTGTGTGATGGCTAAACATTAGCGGTGGGGGGATGACGGTGCACCATTTGTGCCCCCGTCAGGCTGCAGCAGCACCTGCCCAGCTGCCGGAGCTCGGGGTCAGGGGTTCGCCTGCCAGGAGGCCAGGGCTCCGGGTGAAGGGTCATGTTCCAGACAGGCGTATCCACACGCTGATTAAGAACTCAGCTGCAGGAACACTACTTGCAGGTGGATGACGCATTTTACTCCCTAATGCTAACTACTCTTTCCTCTCTTTTTGGTGCTCTATTGTGCCAGGAGGACATCTGAGGGGTTTATGGATTTGCAATAAATACAGTCTTGTGGCATTAAAGTAGTTTTTGTGGGCGGATTAGAGTCAGCACAAGGCAGGTACGGGTGTAAAACTCCAGTTAGAGGGAATTTCTGTTCTGGAAAACAGAAATAAACTGTGATTTTATGTCTTAATTTACTCTGAAATACACCCAAATTCAATTTAACTGTAGTAAAAGCACTTAAGTTGTCTAGTGAATTAATTCTTAATGAATTAATTAGTTGTTTGGTCTAAAAATGCCTAGAAATGGTCAATCAAAGCTGTGTCGTGTTTTGTCTTGTAAGATGTTCAGTTTACTTCCATAGAGGAGGAAATAAATATATCCATTATCAAAGTAGTAGCTAACTAATTTTAATATGCACTGAATTGTGCAAAGAAAAGAAAGCAAAACAACAAAAATAATCACAACAAAGCCAGACAAAAGCACAAAATATGTGATTTCAATATTTAAAAAAAAAATAAAAACCTAACAAACAATATAACATCTAAAACATGCAATTGCTCAGTAGTTTGACACGTAGCTATGCATAGCTTATACATCGATTAATTAATTTATTATATTTACTGTTTTTATTTATCATCTCACACTTACGAACTTTAAAATGTTGTATTGTTTTGTGCAGATAGACGACAGACAGACAGCAGATGCTAATTAGCTTCTAGCTAACTCTGGGGCAGTTACGATTAGCTGTGTGCTGTCTCAGCAAAAATAAACAAAAACACGTAACAGAAAAACGATGAGTTTTCAACTGTTAAGATAACTACCAACTATGTTGATAATCGATTGATTACTTTGTTTCAGACAGAAAGGAAAGAACAATGATCTAAATTCTTTGTTTCCAGCTTCTTTAATTGAATATTTTCTGGTTCTTTCCTTAATATCTTCATGTTGTAGACAAAACTAGAGCTGACAAGTCTTTGGGAAACACTGATCGACCATTTTTGGACATTTTTTTAGACGTAACAACAACTCAATTGATCAAAAATATGCAACAATCATTATCTGCAGCCCTCATGTTCACAACTTACAAAGAATAAAGCGCTTTACTATGAAGCTGGCGCTGCTTTTAAGTGTGTTTTAAGTAGAAGTTTATCTGCTTTCTGTCTTTAGCTATGAGTCAGGGCTGTGCAGGTTTTTCTGCGGACTGGAATTATCTGCTTTTCATCACTTCCAGGCCGCAGGGGCCACTTAATAGTTATTTGTACATATTTTGTGTAAGTTTAATGATAAAAATATTTTCATGCACAAATGATGTGGTTTGTGGTGAGTCTGGGGAATGTTCATCCTTCTTTTTCATATTTTTTTTTACATTTATTTGGCTCTTGCGTCTTGGCTGTGAAAATCACTTATGGGCCTTTTGGATTGGCTTCAGAGGCAGATGTGTGTTTAAACGACGTCATGATTTCATCGTGATCCGCCACCTATAACCTGTATTTTACTGGTGGAAGTGCTTTATGTGCACATATATATTCTATACATAGAGGTGTACAGAATTCCAACATGCAAACAAGCACAAAAACAGACAAAAATGCACGCTTACGTTCATCCAGTCAGACTGGATTGGATTAAACTTCAGTCATCCGTGTGAAGAAACAAGACGCACCAATAACGGCAGCGCAACTCACAGGCTGACAACAAAGCAGTGGAGTAATGAGATTAAGATTTTAAGTACAGTATGACTTCATAGGTGGAAATTATGGGAAATGTTCCTACGTACAACATATGCACACAAAACCCCCACAGGTCCATACACTAATCCACACGCAAACCACAAACACTCATAATTATCTTTACTATGAGAAACATGAAAGACTGGATCATACAAACATCGAGACGAGGCGGCTTCAAACCTCAAAGAGCAACAACTGAACAACAACTGGATTTGTAGGAAAATAATCAAAAGCTGGATTTTTGAAATAAATACATCTATATTTAATATATACAGTTACAGAAGTTCTTGGTAATTTTTATGAGTTTTATGAGTGTTAATGTCCCAATCAAGGCCTATTAGCTCCTGATCTCACCCAGATTACGTAATATTTAGTATGTGCTGATACCTGACCCCACTTTCCAGGGTAATACACACTTCAAATATTGTACATTAGCTGTAGTAACTGTTACTTCCACCAGGTGGAGCCTCTTACGGTTGGATGCTGTCGTGACCAGAGGAGGCGGTCACTTCTGTGTTGGCTAACAGAGAGCATTGTGCTGTTTAGCTCGCAAATGAGCACCATGACGAAGACTTGAGGATGACTGGCATCTGGCCAGCACACAAATGTTATATTAAGCTGGGATTATATAAAATAGCACTGTTGTACCCCAGTGGAATTTATGATGGCCACTTTTGCATCTTTTTCACATGTCATGCCAGCATGCTTGGTGTCTTAGTGAGTTATCAATGTTTGATAGCACCAGCTAATGGTGGGTTACCTCACAGTGCTGTAGAAAGAAGAAAGAAAGCCGCTAACCTGCGTAAAAGCAATAATTCACCTTGACTCAAACTGTGCGATGCAGAGTCACCAGCAACAAAGACCAACTTTCTAAATCATGGCCGCTCAGACTCACCATCAGAGGCGACTCCTTTATACAACGTAATACGATTCATTGTAAAACATGCAAGAGTACTGCTCAAAATGCCGACCGTCTCGTGAATTCCGGCCTTTATGTCTCATAAAATATATAAAATTGTGCATTAAGGTTTCAAACAATTACTTACAAGAACTATTAGGTAAACATTTTATGAAAAATTCCATCAAAAAGTCATCCCCCTCTTGTCACCACTGCCTATTTTACCTCCTTGTCCAAGTTCAGTCTGGTTTTGCGAACACTAGTTTATGCATGTAGCTTCAGTCAGAGCTGCAGACCAGAAGGGAGCATTTTAGGGCAACATTAGGACTGTTGTGACAGAAGAAAGAGCACACATACATGCATATACTACTTCATCCCAGTACCATCTGTTAAATCCTTGAGGCTCTAAATTGTCACAGCATCGTGCGATGGGTGTTGCCTTTTAAGATCATCCTGTAAAGCAACATACTGCATCTCCTTCTCAGCAATTATTGATCTGCAATGTACAATTAAGTATGCTGCTGTTGCTGTTTATCTTATATTGTTACGATTTAGTTACTCCAAACACTAGACATCATTCACTTTATGCTACTATGCCTTTCACATTTGACTCACATGTAAACGAATTACAGAAGGGAAAAACACTGACCGAGTTGCTTAATTGCATATCAACCGGAACATAACTGCACTTTGGGAAACACTGAATAGAATGCAGGAAAACCTCATGTGGGTGACCTTAATTTTTGTCCCCGCGGTGACAGGAGTCTCTGTGGGTTAGTGTGCAGTCAGGTCAAAGTCCCTACAGACCAACAGCTAAAACACATGGCTGTGCTACTGCAAAAATGCCAAATGGAAACAAGTTCCTCTGAAGCCCTGACTGTGGAGCAGCTGTTCTGTTTCCAGAGTCAACTTCAGGTTTGGGTCCAGCAGGTAAACAGATCCTGAGTCAGTCTGAAGTCAGGACGTGGATCAGCTGGTCCATGAGAACCGGAGGAGGCCCACGGCCGCCATTCTGTCAGCTCTGCCCCAAATTCACCAGCTGGGTGTGACTTCATCACTGGTCCAATATGTGTGAGTGAATGTAGGTCTGAGTGGTGTTCAGATATACGCAGCCGTATCTCAGGGATGGAAACGGGATCAATGTACGACACTTGGGAATGAAATACAGATAATAATTTAGATATGTGGATATAGACACGGCATGCACACAGGTCGTACCAGGTCTCTACTTTTTATTGTTTATGCTTCGAGCAGACACTTCGCTCCACGCTAAAGGTAAGCTGGCATAAAGAGAAGCAACAGAAATCTGTATGTAGCAAGTACATAACATATTTCTTGTTGCTTTTTGTATGCACAGAATACCTTTTATAACTATAAATCTTACATTTTCAAACATATGTCATGTATCCTGAAATGTGTGTTGATTAAAGAAAGTCTTAATGCAATTCGGCTAGCAGAAAACTATATATATAAAAAATACCATGTGAAAAAGTATTTTTGTCATCATGTACAAGTGTCAGAATCCTTTACTACTACTGTCAGACTATATATAAAAGATGGATGTGGCAACTGTGATGCCACTCACTGGTTTGTGGTCTACCATTTTGATTTTGGTTGTTGCCATCTTGTTGCTTTTTTCAAATTTTGTTTGAAAATTGGATGTAAAGAGTGAGGGGTGGATCTGACTGAGTACTTGATGATACACAGCGATACGATAGCCACCTGTCATTCACAATAGGGGTCAACTGATATGATACTGATTAGTTTTAATCAAGGAGTCTGATAACCGATATTTGAAACTGATAAGATTTGCAATTCTGAACAACATAAACTCTGTTGACATGCTTTGGTTATGTTTTACATGTGCTAAATTTAAAGAGAACTTTTCAACATTTGTTTTTCAGTGTTGCCAGGCTGTTACTCATGACTTGTAACCAGTCAGATTGTAATGTGGGACACTGCCCACAGATAGAGAGAGGTGGCTGCATCAGAGCAATTTTGAAATGACTGTATCCTATTGGAAATTAGTCTTAAAAAATTATAACGGGAAAAAAATTGGAATATCAGATCTGATATTAAACTAGGATAATAATCAGTCAACCACTAAATCACAAGGTAGCCCTTCCTTAAAAACACAAGCTTTATTGTCTAATTCATTCAAAATAGGACCATAATTTACTAAATGAACATCATGCTGTATTTAAGGAGACTTGAAACTAGTAATCGAGTCCATAAACTTATTAGGAAAACGTCTACTGAAGTAACAAATCAAGTGAGAAAAGGAGCCATTTTCTCATAGACTTCTATAGAGAGGAGTTGCCCCCTGCTGGCTGTTAGAAAGAATGCAGGTTTAAAACGCTTTCACACTGACTGACCCAAAAGGCCACATCCATCTTTTATATACAGTCTGTGATTACTGTTCATTAATTGTACCATTACTTGGGTTTTCACAGAAATAAAATCAGAAGACAATAAATGCACCTGCATCCAGAGGGAGTGACACCCCGCCGTACTTTAACAAATGGCGTTTCAGGAGGTTTGTTTGCATCGTCTCCAAATGAACTAAAGAGAAGGAGCACTCAGCTATGGTGATTTGGGGTGCTGTTCATTGTGATAACTTCCTCTCCTTTCATGACCCAGAAATCATTTGCCATTACTGAGGATTTTCTCATGGATTAAGTGCACGTCATGGAGACAACAATGCTTTGGGAGGAGCTTGGTGCAAGAAAACATACGCTTAAATCAAGATGCCCCATATAAAAACGCTGCAACTTCACAGGTGTTGGTTTGATTTGACAGGTGGTACAGCTGTTATAGGTAACCGCTGTCTCTTCAGACTGACACTATGGAACCGAAGATTTCTCATGTGGCACTTTTGGTTCCTTCGTCCTCATGTTTCTTAGCTCTTCTGAGAGAATGATGGCAGGGAGGGACGGCAGGAGACAAGTCAGCATGATGAATAGCACCCTGGAAACTCATGTGATTTTGCTAGCGTGTGAAAACAACGTAGTTCCTTTCAACCCTGTATCACTCATGTGGACGTAACCAAGAAGGGTCAAACGTGCACTGAGAGTAAAATACATTTTTGCAGAATTGTAAGCAGCTATTGCCCATTTTGGATTGCTAAATTAAATTTTTGCTGATAAAAACACAAAAAAGACAAGTTCTTCAATAAATACGCTGCTAATGAAAATTTGACTGCTTTTGTACGAACTACTAGCCTAAAGCGCTTCAGTGTTACTTTAAACGGTATGATTTATCTTGTTCTAGCTACTGTGTGAGAAAAGGTGCAAGATAAAGAACTAAATGTCATAAACCTCCACATTGTTTCAGAGCCATCTGACAACTACACTCCTGACCTCTATCCTGGCAGCGGTGCTCGGCTCGCTGCAGATCGGATACCACACCGGCAACATCAATGCTCCGGCCAAAGTGAGCCCCAGCTGAGAGGGAAAATATGACACAAGGGTTGATACAAATAGTAATATTTTCACAGTTTCGGACGCAGTCACCCGCCACGAGCAGCCTGAAATTATAGTACTTGCACGATTCAGTGGCTTTTGTGTCATATACAAAGTCGTACCCCACAGACATTCTTAGACAAAGAATATATAACGTTGCTGCTACATCAGTCTGTTAAAGTCACGACATTGTGTCATTCAGACGTAGGCCACTTTTGCTCATCGTGGTTTCGTTCAGACAAACCCATCACAGTGACAGAGAGATCCACAGTATGCACAACAACTGGTAACACATCAAAGTTTGAGGAGCTCCGAATAAAGACTAAACCCAAACTAACAGAAAGAAGAAGGTTGAGCTGAGTTGAATGAGTGGATCCAATGGATCCTATTTAAATTATGTCAGAGGAGTCAGCAGCTGTAGTCAACTGTAATCACTCACAAGAAGTCAAGAGGCAATGCCACCAAAAAATCTGATTACCATAGCTGTCTACATTCACAAAACTGATCATTTAAGCTGCTGTATGTATATTTTTGACCTGACAGAGTTTGTTGTATTTCCAAAAGAAGAAGACACGTGCATTAATGATTCCATCATAGAGATATGAAGAGTCATACGAGGCAGGCTGCCATGATATACGTGTTCTACAAATGTATGTCAACTTTTGTTCACAATTGTAGCTTCAGCAAACTTCCTACATTCCTCTTGATAACCCTTGAACTCAAAAAAGCCTTCAATAATTTGCCCGATACCAACAGTGAATTTTTCTATTTCAAGGGAAATAAAATTGATTGTTGAATGAATTTTACACAACATATTTGTTTCATTGGTCATCCCTAAAAAACTCTCCGTATACAGCGTGATGCAGATTGTGTCTCTCTACCATCGTTGTTCAGATCATCGAAGAGTTTTTCAACCACACCTGGAGAGCCAGACACAACCAGTCCATGCCAGACCACAGCCTGACTCTCCTGTGGTCGCTCTCCGTCAGCATTAAGGACTTCGGAGCTTTGCTGGGTTCTCTGGGAGTCAAATACCTGGCAGATTCTTATGGCAGGTAAAAAGCACATAAAACAGAACATATTCTTGCAGTTCCATCGTTGATTTGAACATGTTTTTTTGTCTCTTCACTTCCTCTCCAGACGTAACTCCATCCTGATTGTTAATGGACTGTCGGTGGTGGGAGCTTGTATGATGTTTGCATCCAAAGCTAGCGAGTCGTTCGAGGTTCTCATACTGGGACGTTTGGTGTTTGGTCTGTTCTGCGGTCTGGTGATGAGTCTGAACCCCCTCTACATCCAGGAAATGTCCCCCACCAACCTGAGAGGGGCCTTTGCTACACTCAACCAGGTGTCTTTCGCCACAGGCATCCTGGTGGGAATGGTGAGGGTCCTGCTGGATGATTTTACGCTCTTCAAATCTAGTTTGGGTTGGGGTTGGACAATACTAGTGTCTTCAATATATGTCCGTATGTATCTGTCTAAACTTTTCCTTAACCCTCTGAAACCTCAAACCCGCCATCATGTTTGAAAGGAGTATTATCTTTATGAAAAAAGAATAAAAAAATGGCAAAAATTACACCATTTAGGAGAGTTAGAAACTGGAAAAGCTGATTTTAAGATCCCAATGGTCCTTGAACTACTCATCTGTGAAACGCTATTCAACTGGGAAAATGAACTAAATCTGTATTTTATGTGTCACAGATTCTATAAAAAACTAAATATTCTACATTCCTCTGTGCAAATGTGAAGCCGTTGTAGACTTTATTTTGTTTAATTAGCTTCTGCTATGTGGGGAAGTTTCAACCCAGTCTCAGGCATTAACCAATTTTACTGTTCTGGCCCGTCCACACTAATAACTATAGAGATCAGTGTACAGATGTGTGCGCCCACACTGACCAACGTTAACATTCTGTAAGCACCGGAGCTGAGCCGGTAAAGTGTGCTTCAGCTGCTATAAGCTATATGCGCTGTCTGATAGGGAAAAACGTGTCCCAGACAGGAAAGATAATTCCAATTGAAATGCATTGGTTTGAAATTCGTGCTGGGGAACACGAAAAAGTCGGACAAATCGTGTCCCAGGACACGAAACGATAGATTAAATTTCATGACTATTTTATGAATTGCCGTGAGACTGGGTTGGAAGTTTGCTTTGGTATTACATTGTAAATGACCACCTCTTGTGAGAATGCACCCAACAACCAAACATCAGGACATAATTATGGGCGATGCTGACAAGAAACAAGTCCATGCACACAATACCATGAGGAACTTCAATTCACATTCAGATCGGCTACCCGTTTCACTGCTCTTTTTGTGGAGCCCAGGAAGCTTCATGCAGCTCCAGTGACCTAATTTCTGTTTAATGGAGCCAATTGGCCCAGAAAAATCATGTGAATTATATAACGCATTAATGTTCCTGTTTTTTGCTGCTGCAGGTGGCTGGTCTGGAGACAGTTCTGGGTACAGAACATTACTGGGCCATGATGTTGTCTCTGTCTCTGATCCCGGCTGTAACTCAGTACCTGGTTCTGCCTTTATGTCCTGAGAGTCCACGATACCTTCTCATCAACCGAGGAGAGGAGGGAAAGGCGGAAACTGGTGGGACTCAGTTTATTTAAAATTTTAATTACTGCTCATGTTAATTCTAATTTAGTCGTTACGTTAATAGACAACATGCAATAACTAAATGCACCCCGATAGCTTCAATGACTATATACAAAGAGTCTGCTTTGTATGTAATCAGTGCAGATAAAAAGAAAATCTGATTAGTATAAAGTTCATTTCCTATTACAACATGGATTGCTCTCGTTCTAACAATATATTTATCTTGTTATAAAACACGTAACAATGGGATAACATACATGAAGAATATGGCTCATGTACACAACTTTGTCAGTTCTGAATCTTAAAGCTCATAAACTTCTTCAGCTTATCTCTTGTAATGTTTAAACTACGGAAGCACATTAGCGCCACCCCAGAAAAATAAAAAAAAGGATACATTTCAAGTTTTAAGGTGAAAAGTTTCTTGTTATAATAGATGTTTTTTACATTCTAACTATATATTTTTACGGTTATACAGCATGCAAACTTATCCTGATATAACTACAAACTTCTTGTTCTATCAATATACTGTTTTTCTTACGATAACATGAAAACATTTAGAAATGATGCAGAGAAAAGATAAATGAAAGAAAACATTTTAATTAAGTTCTACATAATGTTTAGGTTGGTGAGACTCTGCTGTTAATGAGCAGGTTGATGATATTGTGACAATTATGTGAACACAAACAGATTTTAAAATGCACGGGGCTGCACAAAAGGAAGAACAAGGCAGCATGATTTCTGATTGGTCAGCACTGACAGCTCTGTAGATACATGACTTTATTACAATATCATCCACTTGCTCTATAGCCGCATAATCTCTCCATGTTTCAACCCAAACGTGAAGAAAAACTTAAATAAATTGTGTAAATCAGCAATTTTCCTCAATGTATCCATTCTTGACATCATTGCAATAAGTTATCTTTTTCTAAAGTGAAATGTTCGATGTTGTGAGAAGATAGTCATGTTATTGATGTAAAAAGTAGCCTCACGCTTTAAAAATAAACTTATAAAAGCGTGAAACTCATCACTTTTTCATTTTTTTGTGTTGAAGAAGTTTTATTAGAAGCTTTAGGATTTAAAACTAACTCCCAGGTGTGAAAACATGAAAATGCTTTTATTTATGCTCTAGTATCTCAGTTTTATGGACACGTTGCCACTTGAGCAGCTCCCTAAAAGAAGCCGCTGCTGGTTGTTTTAGCCCTGCAGAGGCTGAGAGGCCGAGCAGACACAGTGTTCGCTGAGCTGGAAGAGATGAAGGAGGAAGCCGCCCACACTCAGAGTGGCCTGACCGTCTACGAGTTCTTCAATAAGCGCAGCTACAGGCAGCCCATCATTATCGTCCTCATCGTCAACTTGGGAAGCCAGCTGTCTGGATTCAACGCGGTCAGTTGCGTTCTGTCTGAAAAACGTTTCACTGAAGCCCAAAAGGGTTTCAATAATACTGTCATGGCTGTGTTTTTATGATAAAAAAAAGTCAGTTTTCTGCTTCCTCACACTGAGATGAATATTCAGCCGCAGCTCTTTGGTATTTCTTCAATAAATTATTTAACCTCAGCACTCAGACTGAGTCAGTGTGTCAGTACAAAGCCTCCACTGCTAAAAAACACAGTAAGACATCCCAGTAACCCACTAAACCAAAGTCCTGCTCTTTCTCTTCCAGATAATCAACTACTCCACCAGAATGTTCCAGGCCAAGTTTGACCAGGCCAAGTATCTGACTCTGGGTGTCGGTGCCGTTAACGTGACCTTCACTTTGGTAGCAGTAAGTGGTGACTCTCCATGCTGAAGCTCCACTTGTGTGTGGTTTTATTAAAGTGCTACGATATCATACAGGTTACTCAACTTAAAAATATGTCGTGGCATCACTTCTTGATGTTGCCACAAGCTGCATCAGAGCCTTGGCTGCAGGATTAAAGTGTTGTCACCGTTTCCTCGTGAATGGTTGAGCAGCTTGAACCGCAAGCCGCAGGATAGTGTTGCATTTTAATTCAGAAAAGTGGGATGAAATGTGAGCAGAATCAGCACTGTGTTGTTTTTTCCTCCCCAGTTCTTCCTGATGGAGAAGGCAGGGAGGAGAAAGCTGCTCCTGACTGGTTTCATCTCCATAGCTGTGTGCAACTTACTCATGACCATCGTCGATTCTGTCCTGGTAAGATCATCTCAGTGCGGTTGTTTCCAGCTGCGCAGGAAAATGTGCCAGTCTTGGACTCGATGATATATCCAACGTTCAAGAAACCTGGAACATGGTCTTAGGAAATGTATGAGAGGATAAAATAAAATAAACCTTGAGGCTGAAGTTCCAAGTTGTCTGGCAATTTTGGTCACATGTGAGATCAAAAATCTGTCAAGTGTGACTAAACATTTTCAATGGTTGCACTTGTCGGTGTGTCTACACTGTAAATAAAAATCTGTGAAGTAGCATTTAAGATCTGGCAGCATGAGTGTCACATTCAAAAAGTAAAAATTGTGGAAATAACAGTAAATAAAAAATAGTAAATAAATGATTTAAATACTTTAAAACTGTTTTTTTTTTTTACAGTCACACTATGGAAAAAACTAAATACAGTTTGTCAAAATACAGATTTTTGATGTTCGACTGAACTGCAGGCTGTGTACATACAAGTATGGAATCTAAGTGCATAAATAGTTGAATATCTACAGCATGTGGAAGCTTCATTTTTTTTCTTTTTTCAAGATTGTTAGTACCTGTTGGCGCTCGGAAAAATATTGCACATGATTCGAGTTCTTAAAAAAACAAATAATGACAGAAATTACACTTAAGTTTTACTTTTTTGTGATTTTTGCAATTCAAACTTTTTTGAGTGTTGGGAAAATTAACCAAATCTAAGCTGCTTTACTTTATTCTACATGTCTTATTTAGAAATGTGCCCAAAAAAATAACTTTTTGCACCAGATTTTGTATAAAAAAACTATAATTTAAAGACCAACAACCTCTTTACAAAAATTCAGGGACCTTTTAGCTGAAGTGCAGGCAGTGTTTACACAGAAGTATGGAAAAGTTATATCACAAATCAAATCGCTCTGTTGGCCAGAAAAAAGTCAGAGTTATTATGTTCCCCTACTGATTCAGTAACTTGTGCCTTCGCTGTGCAGCACCTGGTCCCGGAGCTGCGCAGCCTTCAGGTGCTGCTGGTTTTCTGCCTGATTTCCGCCTACGAACTCGGCCCCGGGCCCATATCCTGGTTCATCGCCGCCGAGCTGTTCGACCAGCCCGGCAGGCCCATCGCCATGGCCTTCACCAGCATGCTCAACTGGGGAGGGAAGTTTGTTCTGGCGCTGCTCTTTCCTCCATTACTGGTGCGTTGCTACTGTTGGCCTGCACGCTGGGGAAAACTTTGGAGGTGGCTTTTTCTGGTTCACTTACACCTCAGAGACGTGACTGTTAAATACAGGCTATAAATCTGTTCAGTCCGTACATGTGTATCTATAGTAAAAACAGATATAAATCTTGTAAAATATACTGCTGAATCCTTTAAAATCTGGTTGGAATAATTTAATAAGTGATTAAATTAACAGTTAACCGGGGAAACATCTGCTTGCTACGGTGCGGCACGGAAAGATGGCAGCCGACCTGGAGATAAATCAAACAACCTTTTTGTTTTTCTTACTGTCTTATTTCACGCACAGAAAATCTGTGGCGCTTACGTCTACCTCCTGTTCATGACCGTGGCTCTGCTCGCCTTCACCTTCACCTGGATTCGGCTCCCGGAGACGAAAGGGCGGACGTTCGATGACATTGCAGAGGAGTTTAGGGGAGCAGAAGGCATCCCTTTGCACAATAAGGCTGGATTCAACACTTTTACCTAAAGACCCTCTCACTCTTTAAAGATTCAAACTGTAAAAGTTTAAACTATATCCAAACTGTTGTACCAAAGATTAGTGGAATGCAATAAAATAATTTCACTTTAATTTGCCTTCAAATTTCACTTGTGGTGCTCAAGAATGATCATTTTTAAAAACTCAGAGCACCAATATAAGCAAGTTCGGCGCTAATTTTAGGTGCACTGACCCTTTAATTCTCCTCCTGTTGTTGACGAGGCCTCAGTTAATTTGGTTTTCCAACAATATTGTACTGATTATGTGATTATGATTATTTATGCTGCATGTTTTGAGGCATTTTGTAAACATTGTGTTATTTTCTAAGGAGTCAGGGACAGACGACGGGTTGTTTTATTCTTACAGTGAAAAAAGGCTGCAACACATTCTTTGTTTGAAGAATTTGTTTTCTCCCTGTCAAATAAGTTTATTAAGCTTCATTTGTGGTTTTGGTTTGTATGCAAACAGTAATATGATGCTTTGCATGTCACGATGTCATGGAAAATTTTAGTTTTTTGGGGACATTTTTAGAAATCGTGATGTCACTAAGAGAATATCAGACTTTAATTCAACACCATCACATACCTGAGACTGGTTAGACTGTAAATGTGCATTCAAATGTACAGTTGAGTGTCAGGCGAAGGTAACAACAGCCTCTGATTTAATTATAAAAAGAGTCTCCAGCAAACAATGTTTCCTTGAATTTGGGTTTGCTACGGTTCAGACTGGAAGCAGCCTTCCAGTTCACTACTGGTCTGTGAAATCTCACATATCTCTGAACTGTGTACACTTGTAAGATGTGTGTGAAACCCAACCGCAGCGCCGAGGATAAATATTTCATCCAACATGATCTACTGCGACTTGCAGGAACCGCAGAGGGGGAGGAACGACGAGATCAGAGGATGGGTTTTGGTTTAAAAGCAGCGGGGGGCCCGAGTTAAATCTAAATGTAGATTACTGTACTTGTCTATTTAAAGTCAGCTTCCAATAACTCATCACACAGTAGATTTTATTTGAATTCCTTGGCCTCTCTGTCTCTTTACAAAAGTGTGAAAACAGTGCCATCTACTGGACCAAACTGCAAGAGGTAATCAAATGAACTGAAGGTTTACAACATTTTAGCAACTTTAGCTGCTTTTTGACTGCAGCACTTTTACTTCAATCACTAATGCAGCTTTGCAAGTAAAGACCAAACACACTGATAGTATCGTTTTGAGCAGTGAGCAGCTGTTCGGCTAGACAGAAAACAGGACATTTCATGACAGTGGAAGCTTGTTTTTAAGTTCTCAGAATAAGGTTAATATCAGTTTAAACCAACTTTAATGTCGTTCTGTGGCTCACTGATCTCAGACGTATACAGGAAGTTGCAAAGAAAGTTGATTAAGCCAACAGATTCTGAAGTTAACCCCCCCAACTCCAAGCAGTTTCTGGGTGTTTCTTTTTTTTGTTCCTGTCACATTTTTTATTTTTACCAGCAATATAAAGGTCTGGACCTCTGTGGAACCAGAGCAACCATGAGTAGAAGGAGAGAGAACTCAGAAATGTCTTTTGTGCTTTATGACACCGTTATAATGTCTTTAATCATTAAAAATAAAGAAATCACAATTTTTGAATGTCCATAAATCCATCATCTATACACTGCTTATTCCTCACTAGGGTCGCGGGGGGGTTATCCCAGCTGACTTAGGGCAACAGGTCACCAGTCTATCACAGGGCTACACTTAGAGACAGACAACCAAGAACACTCACATTCACACCGACTGACAATTTAGAATCACCAATTAACCTCAACATGTTTCTGGACTGTGGGAAAAGCCGCAGAGCCCGGAGAGAACCCACGCTGCACGGGGAGAACATGCAAACTCCACACAGAAAGATCCCGGGTGTCCTCAAAGTGACACGAACTGGCGACCTTCTAGCTGTGAGGCAACAGTGCTAACCACCGAGCCACCTTGC